TTCATTTGCTGGATGTCTTCAGGCTAGCTTCTTAATCTTGGGTTAACTGGATGGGGATAGGATTAGTCAACAGTCATTATATGGTGTCCATTTTATGTAGATGCCAGGCTTGTAATAAACATCTTAGAATAATAAAAGTGACCCACATCAACACTATAACAAAGGCATCATTTTAACCCCATTCCACAGAAGAAACAAGCACAAAGGGACTAAGAACCTTGCCCAAAGTCATGCAGGCTAGCAAGCAGTGCTGATTCCACAGACTGCTTGTCCCACTGGGCTGTTGCATAGCTGTGTGTTATGCGGGTTAGAGGAGCAGATGGGTCTCTGCTCCCAGCGAGCGTTAAGCAGACAGAGTCCTGGATGAAGTGGCTTTGGAATTAAATAGCAAAGCCATTTTGTCTTAATTCTACTGTGAGGTCCATTGTTAACCTTTTGGCAACTGTCTAAATTCAGGGATGGGGGGAGTGTGATTTTTCCCTAAAGTCAACTTTACTTACAACTGGAGTTTAACCAGTTGGAGTTTAAATCATCTCCCTGCACTTCTGCTCTGTTTTTCCTGAGGTAGATAGCTTCTGGGAAACAGGGCTGGGGGGAGGGGTGGATGCTGGTGCCTGGTGGCCAGAAAGGCCACAGGGCTGCTGAGTAAGCTCCACATCTGAATGACCCCAGTGCTGTCAGCTGATCCTGGCCAGTGCAGCATGGGCTGGAGGCCTGAAAAGCCTGAGCTGTTTCCTCTCCCAGGTGCTCCTAGGCCCTAAGTTCCTGAGCTGAGCTCTCCTCGGTGTGAAATGTACCTTCTTCGCGTGATCTTAGCCAAAAGGCCGAGAAGCGATGAAATGTACCTTCTTGTCTGAAAGGAAAGTACATCTCAGCTTTGGCACCTAGCCTCAGCTCTGGATGCAGAGGGGCAGCCTGTCACAGTCCTGAGGGAAACAGAATTAAGAAATGGCTCTGTATGAATAAGCTCTTCATAGCGATGAGCAATGCCTGCTATTTTCTGAGCACTGTCCTTCAAAATATTGTATAGTCTTTTGAGTATGACCTTGGGCAAATTCTACAACTCTTCTGATCCTCAGTTTCCTCATCTGTAAAATAGGAATTCCAATAAAAGACATATAAAGTTCTTAGGCAGGGCCTTGCATGTGCATTAATTAATTGATCAACAATTATTAAGTATGTACCAGGCACTGTTCAAAGCACTGGGGATATAGCAGAGAATGAAGCAAATAAAATCCTCCTATCGAGCTTACATAGTAACTCTTCAAAATTGTAATACAACAATTTTTTAAATTCTGTTTAGGAGATAGCAGAAATGAACATGGTTATGAACATGAAGCACAAAAAGTTATTAAAACAATTGCTACCCAAACCTGTCTAATTGGATTAGAGGATGTGCATTATCTCCAGAGAAATTTGGGGATTTGGTGGGGATATCTTTATACCACTGCCCAAACCTCCGATTTGATGGAAGACCATCAATTGCAGTTGGAGTCAAAGAATGGTTCTGTAGTGAACCCTAATTTTCTAAGGTCTAGAACAGGAGGGCTAAGGTGACAGCCAGATCCTGCATTGTCATATGTGTCTAATGAATTTTCCTGCTTGCCTGGTTCTATTTGAGTCATCTGGTTTTTATTTTGATTCAATCTCTTCGCCAGCTGCTAATGCCACCTCCTCCCACTCTTTTCAGGCAAGAATGGGACAGGAAAGAAAGTCACTCCAGAGCAATAGTCCTGGAATGGGAGACAGTCTCTCCTTGATGGTTCCCAAGGAGGAAACATGCAGGGGCAACTCGGGCCCTGCTTTTGCGCTCTTTCCTACCAGTAACTACTGGAGGCGGGTCCTCTCTTATTATGCCTGTGACCGCCTTCTAGAAATGTTTACAACTCATGCCTGACCAGCTGTCTGCCACATTCCCTCCTCTCCTTCTCCCACCTTAGCTCCTACCTCACTTACCCTTTACCATGCCCCTATTTTTTCCCTTTTTCTGCCTCTACCATGATGAGCCCTGGTAATATCATGAGTTCTTAAAAGGAATTCAGACCAGTTTCCAGCTTTCTCAGGTACGGAAACAGGCCTAGAAAGGGGGAGTAACTGATTCAAAGTTAACACTGCTTCATTCATTTATTTACTCAACCAAGAACACGCCTTACTCTTTAAGATTTAGCTTAAATGTCACCTCACCAGAGACATCTGACTACATCTAAAGCAGATCCCACTCATCATTCTTCTCTGTGTCTTTTTACCCTTTATCACAATTTGTAGTTGTTTCATTTATTAATCTTTTCTTTTGGTCTGACTCCTCTACTAGAATATAAGCTCCATGAGGGCAAGAGACATGTTCATTTTTCAGAGACATACTCATCACTGTATTCAGCACAGCATCTGGCACATAATAGGTGTTCAAGAAATCTGCTGCATAAATATGCTATGAGTGAGCAGGTGCCATCGAGGCACCTGGGGATATGAAGATGGATGGGATACTGTCCCTGCTTTCAGAACTGTCTTGTGTGAGCAACAAAACCAGAAACGGGGATAATGCGATGAGATCAGGTCCAGATTAGGGATGGGGTTGGGGTACTTTAGGGTCACCCCAGGCCTAATCTCTGCTGGGCTTTTGCCAACCACCCAGAACCCAGGTTAAAACCATTTGGCTGTGACTCAGGTCTATTCCCTGAGCAGCCCAGCAGTGGCAGGAGCTGACAACTCATCCGCTGGAGTATGTGCTCAGATGGTAGCTGGACCCATGACCCTTTCCAATGAGGGAGGACTTGCCAGTTTCACAGGTCCAGTTGGTGGCCAAATCCACACTCATCAAGCCCTCAGAGACTGCCCCACATCTTCTAGCCTAGCTCCAATCTTTTGCCTAGTCTTCTGCTTCAGAAGAGAACTTGTACAGCATTAAGGAAGGTGACATCTGCCTAGCCTTTGAGATTAGTGGGGCGATGGATGTCCTAGCTGGGTATCTTTCATATCTAGAGGGCAAATGGGTTTTCCCACGTGGCTCAAAGAAAGCTAGTGCTTTTAGAGAGCAAGTGGCTGACCTGCCTTCCTGTTGTGGACTATAAAAGGAACCCAGCAGGAGGAGGAGGAAGCCAGTGAGAATCTCTTTCTTTGAAGAGACAGTCCAGCTGCTGGCTCCCATGGGAGAAGCTCACCCCTCAGTCTTATCTTCTCTGTAGAGTGGGGCAAGATGGCAGCTTCTGCTGCTTTTCAAAGCTCACTCCTCTTCCCTTCCAGATTCATCCCTCCACCCCTCAAGAGCCAAAAAGGTAGACTCAAGTGCTAGCAGCATGAACCCTCCTTCCAGATGGGATACTTCACAGCTAAATGCTAAACCTACCCAAAGCCCGAGCTCCTTTCCCCCATCATTTGCTACCTGCAGCCAAGCTGACCAAAATGACTTAATATCTATAGTGTCATAGAGCGCTTTTAGCTCTAATCCCCATTCTTCTCCCTTGGTTTCAGGGGTTGGGAATTATCTCCAAATTTATTCAGAGAGGTTAAGTAACTTGTCTAAGGCCACAGTGGGAGAGTAGCAAAACAACAACAAAAAAACATAAAACAAAAAAACTTGCATCTCCTGCTCAGTAGTTTGGCAGGTGCTCAAATAATCTTTATGCAAAGGGTAAAATTTGTTGTTTCTTCATTTCGCTGGCCTATGGGTGCTTCTGTGTTTTGGGGAAAGGGATTGTGTAGCGGGAAGGAAAGCTGTCCCCCTTCCTAAATGAACCTTTGACCTCCTTAGTTAACTTTCGCTTCCGAAAGTTCCTGGTTTAACTCTAATCTTTCCGACTGGATTCTATGGTCAGTGTATTTATTATCAGCAATGCCCAAGAGCAATGACGAGTAGGTCTACTATTTTCCTTCTCAAAAGAGCAAAGACCAAAATAATAATAATAATAATAATTAATAATAATAATAATAATAATAATAAAAAAATACGCTCACTTTTCCCCAAAATATACAGTCCAAAAC